CTCTCTCTCTGCACACTCTCCCTCTCCATCTAGCATCCATTTTCCGTGCGCCCAACAAGCAGATTTTCACCATCAGCGTGTGAGATGTTTCTGGCCATGTGGAAGGATAGATACAAGAGATAATCACAATAGTAAAAATAAATGACAATAACAATAATAATAATAATAATGAACACTCACCGTTTTCTCCTTTCCCACTCATATCACCCTCTGCACTCTCTCTCAATATCCCTTACTTATTCTCTCAATCCCTCTTCATCTCTCACACTTCACAGTCCCTCTCTCTCACGCCGCACAGTCCCTCTCTCTCGCGCTGCTCAGTCCCTCCCTCTCACACTGCATAGTCTCTCTCTCATGCTCACACACTGCGCAGTGTCTCACTCTCTCACTACTTAGTCTCTCTCTCTCTCTCCCACACACAGAGACACTGCTGCCATAGCTACCGTTGACCATGAGCAGCTTGGAACCACTGCGCTCCACGAACACGTACGTTCGCTGCGTTCCCTGCAGTGGCTTCCCCTGGTGCACCCCGTTGCAGCGCATCTTGGTCACACTGGTCGCCCACTCTAGTTCGCCCTGTTCGCCCTGGTCTCCCCCTGCCGAATGTCCAGTGCCCTTCTGCCACTCTTCCTATATTGGTTTCAGGTCGCGACACCAGCCCAGCGCACAGCCGAAAACTGGCACTGAAGGTACCAGACCTTCGAACTTGCCAAGCAGACCCGCAGTTCCCTTGACTGGTCCGAGGTTTAAACCAGCAGGCCCGATCCAGGACCCGCGGGGGTGAAATAAGTACTGCCCACAGTAGAGTAGCTCTTGAATAATACCTTCGGAGCTAGCCTCCCCAAATAACACCAGCGCGCCGGACCAGACCAAGTGCAGTCCGAACTTGTAGGTCCACCGTATCTGGACCAGAATATGTCAAAGCCCCGAAGTTTTTATTTTCGACAGCTGCAGCCTGTCCCGGTCCATTGTCGGGTACCACGCGATGGTACCATACAAGACCAATTCCGTGCTCCGCACCAATCTAAGAATCGCTGATAAACAAGGACTGCGCCATCTGCAACGTACCAGCATAACAGATCAGAGGACACCATGTTCTTCCAATACYGCGGATGAKCCGAACCAGTGTCCCGTGAGCCGTACCAGATCAGCGCAGCATACCAACCGTACTGTAGACGTGCCATTGTATCGTACCACACGAATGCCAAATTGTCACCGTGCACGTGCWGACCYCGTCTMGAATCAGCGTAACATCATACTGTGCCGTGAATGAACCATRCCAAATGTAACAAAACCGCGTAACACATGTCGTAGCCCAATCATGTCGTCGTGACCAGAGAATGGTGCCAAATATGTWCCACGCGAGTACCACCAAGGCCTGTGCCATACCTGCCCCGAACCAAAGTGYCATGTCGGAGTYGATCCAGTGTCCATACCGAAGTGATAAAGTCAAGCGGCACAACCAAAATAGCACCAGCAGTAATACCGCGCCGAGCATCCATCCCGCACTCACTCATAACACACAGGTGGCAATAAGGGTAGGATTCAAATAGTTCAGGTAAATCTCGCAAGGGTCCGCAATAATCGGAAAACTGTAAGAATTGCCAGAATTGAGGTAAGTAAATAATACCGGGATAAATCCGATCGCGAATGACTCAAATAAAATTTTATCAAATATTAAATAATCGTTGGTTTTCTTTTCTTTTATCATTTTTAATTATTTTTCTTATTTCTTAATTCTATTATCGAAAATAATAAAAATAAACGTATTTTTATCAAAAATGAATTCCGAGGGAATTCAATTAAATAGGGAAAATTCCTTTGTTTTTTCCGTCTCTTATTATTTTTAATTATTTTTTCTTAATTTTAATTCTGTCATTGGAATTAACAAAATTCGAGGCTCCATCTCCCCGTCGATAGGCTGGTGTAGAAGAGTCGTGCCAAGGCCTACTCCCATATTACCGTCCCACGGCTAGCCATTTCGAAAATAGCCCCGGAGCGGGTGAAAAAAAGGTGGGTGTCAGCGCGGTAGAAGCGGTAGTCCCTCTTGTCAATTTTGAGGGCTACTCTCAACGGTCGGCACCTCAAAAATTAGGGTGCTCTAGGTACCCCTAATTTTTTCGGTCAGGTTAAACAAGAGTATCAGTAAAATCTTAATTGGGCGTTCGTTTGAGGGTCTAATTCCTTTTATTTCGGGTGGCCGACTGGATTTGGCCGCCCGACAGCTAGCCCGGACCTCTTCTCGACGCCCCCGTCGAGCCTCGACCTATCTGTCGAAAGAGCATGTCCCTGACTCGAAGGGTGCTTCCCTTCTCCGCACTGCAATCATTCGACCATCCCCAGCGTCACCGTTTGCTCTGTGAAGAACCACCTCATTGTKAAGAAGAGTCCCCATGAAACCACTCCCAGGAATGTTAAATATATTTTGAGGCACGTTCTCTCAGGCATCAAAGAAAACGGGCGCGGTGCAGTCCGCTCTACTACCCGAAACCGTGACCGATGTGCGACCGATATGACGTTGCTAAAAGGCTTGTCTGCTAACGGGTCAGAATTAACAAAGATCTCATGTGTCGATGTTACCGGTTTACCTCGTTCGGGCCCGATAAGAATCGTGTTTGTGACGGGTACTTTTGTGATACCTGCGATATATAGGGGCCCGTCCCATATCGGCTTGGACGGTTCCCGTACGGAGCAGCGTATACGTTGATTAAGCGCTGACCTTAAAGACGTTGTTGTATCAGTAACTTGCTTAGGGCCTCGTTTTCGTGGTGATAGTACTCTCCGTCCTTCTTCCTCTCCCTCTCGATCCATGATAACTATATCTGGGCCAGCCCTCTTCTTTGGACGAAGAGCTTGGAATGATTTGATAGAGGTGACGTGAATGGGTACTACAGGCGTCTTGTCCCCTGACTGTAAGAAAATCGCGATTCTCTGACTCCTTACCGTCGCCTTAACTTCGTTCAACGACGCTCGTCTGACCACCAAGTCCTCCTTCTTCGGAGGAGATACTGATGCATCTCTCAGATCCTTGGTTCTCGTGACGCACAGTCGGTCAAGTCCTACTACCCCATAGTCAATTACCTTCTGAAGATCACGGCAATCTCTCCTTATATGGTTATCGGAACAACAATACATGCATCTGCCACGAGGAGAAGAAGGTTGAGCCTCCACACGTCTGTATCCTTCGTGTTCGCCTGATACCTGTGCGTCCTCAGAACGCGGCCTAGACTCCTGTTGGCCGCTGGCATCATCCTGATGGTCTCGATCATCTCTCCTCTCGTGTCGCTCACGGGAATTGTAGCGTCGGTCTCTCGCCATCGCATGGCAATATCTATCTTCATCCTTAGGATACTCCTCTGCATCTCGGAGGTCTTCGCGACCTGGATCATATATCGGGCTGTGAGGGTAAGTTTCCACCCGACCGTGTCGTCGATACCCGTGATGCCTGTCTCCCGTATAGTCCCTATGATAGGCAGTCTGTCGATCTCGATCCTCGTCYTGGTACCTAGGGGAGTCGTCACAACGTCTATGATACCTCTGCTCCCTCGATCGATAATCGGTTAGTGTCTGAGGATTTCTATCCTCTAGGGGTCTCCACGATCCTGGCCCCCGATTATCCCACCTCTGCGAGTACGCTGAACCAGTCCTAACTCGATCGCACCTCAGCAAGTTCGACGAACCGTTCCTCGCCTGATACCCATCAGTCTCCATCTTCGCCTCTATCCAGGCGATTTGTCGAGYTAGGGCCTTGATCATCTCTCTYRGGTCTGAATCGTCTRTGATGTTTGCTCGTCGCTCTCCAGGCTCACTCCGATCCCAGCGATGTGAATAGGGAGACCCTGGTTTGTCCTGGCAGGTTGTCGCTTCCGCCTTGGTTGCTATATMTGTGACCTGTCTCGCTAGGCGCTTCATCATTTCCCTCATCTCTCTTACCTCTTCCATCACGGCTTTYACGTCTCCTCTGTCTGACCAAGGGTAATCCTTAAAATTCGGACACCTATCAGTGTCATATTCCCAATAGAGGGAGGAATCTCGTCTTCTCATCCCTCTCCACACCAAGTCTCTATAGTCGTCTGCTCCTACTTTCATTGCCAATTTAAGGACTTCAGGAAAATCTAATTTGTCATTCGGCAAATCTCTAAGTATCGCTTTCTGCTTACCCATGGGCAGGCGACCAATGGAAATGGTGCACCGCTCAACCTCCGACAGCTTGCCCTTCTCCATCAACACACCAGATATCTTTTGGAAGCGCTTCCCGAAAGCTTGTACGCTCTCGTCTTCATCTTGAGTCATAGTCTCGAGGTCCTTGATGGAATATTTGCTACTCCAGTTTGTAGAGGTCGCAGAGATTTGTCTTATACGTAGCCCACTTCCTATCCTTGGGTCGGGCTTCTTTAACTTCCTTGCCAAGACTTGGGTCCACGTTAAATAGGAAGGTATCTATAATTTCCTCCTCCGACCACTGACTACGATTGGCATGAAGCTCCCACTTCTCCAGGTATTCAGTGATACCATAACCTCTGAAAGTAGGCGGTTCGGAGGGTAGGTAAGATATAATATAGCGATCTCTGCTCTCATAAGGCAGCACATATGACACACCAGTCTGGGGATCAAAGACCCGCTTAGGCGGGGCCCTATCCCTGTCTCTATTCTTCGAATACTGTTCTCGGTCGTACTCGTCTCCCCAATCGTTTCTGTGCATATCTGCTCTAGGCTCTCTACGCTCATACTTTGGTAAGCGCCATCCTGCCATCTCTCAACGGACACTGGATGACTCTGACTTTGTGTCCTTATCCAACTCAGTAATGTCTGTTCCGCCCACCACTTCTGGCTCTCCATCTTCAGCGTGCTCTGCCCATCTCAGAGGAGTTTTTTGCCTAATGCGCTCTTTGAGACCCTGCAAGGTGCGGTCAGGCGACGATCGATACACGCCAGTTGGTTGCTCCGCAGTCGGTTGAGGACCCATCGTGTCTGATTCCATAGACACTGTATCACAGCCCGGACCTATGTCAGAAACCGAAGCCCGGACCTAATGTTTATCCGGCAGCCCGGACCTATGAATTTCACATATCGCCTAGACCTATGGATTTGACAGGCAGCCTAGACCTATGGATATTGTCCGGCAGCCCGAACCTATTCTTCATGTTACCCAGTCCAAGTCGTAGCACGGACCTAATGATTTAGCCGGACCGAAGCACTTATAACTGTATTGGGGGGGGGGATGGGTTAACACCTCTAACAGCAAACTGTCGTTTGAGAAAAGAAAGACTAAGAATAGTCAGAAATAGGGATGTGAGAGATTTTCAAAAGACATTGGTAGAGAGAAGAACAGAAGGGATTAGGAAGGAGGCGCGATGACAGCCTAACTGGAACTTTCCGCAGATCGACTAATCCCTTGCGGATCGGAGCCGCACCGAAGCCGTACTAATCTAGACTGATCAAAAAAGGAAAGGGTGTTGAAATCCCGGTTTCAGATTGGCCTATAGGCCTTATATTCAAGTTCCCTCGAATATAAGGTGTGGGCTCAACTCGAGGGAGTTCCGTTTACTGCACCCTCGAGTAGGTATCCGAGCAACGGACCCTGTCCCCTAGTCAAAACCCAAAATTAAGAGCCGAGCGTACTCACTCTTTGAAATTTTAAGCCTTTTTCGCAATTTTAAGGTATTTTTCATCGTTTAAATAAATAAAAATTGCCTATAAACGAGAAGAAAGCACTACCTCGTGCTCAGCGCATAGGGGGATGTAATGAAAACCCTAGCGAGTCGCGAGGTACGCACGTGCTTCATTCTACCCTTTGCTTTTGATTTAATCCGAATATTTTAATAACTGAAAATTCCCGTCACTTGCCTCAGGCCTTTGGGAACAAGCCAATAGGTTCACCCGAGCCAAGGTTACCCCAGCGTTTCTTTCCCTTCCCCCTCTAGGAAATTTTCTTGTATTTTCCAATTATAAATTAAAAAAAGTATACAGTTAGGATAAATTCTCTTTCTTAATTTATATATATTAAGGATTAATATATATATAAGCCCGCCGAGTTTGAAGATTTTTAGGGGTAGGAATGAATTTTTGGGAATTTACCAAGAGTTCGACAGCACTTCGCCTTCCCCCCGTTGGGATGGTGTTCAGGCGAAGCCCTCAAACAGCTCTGTCGGAGGAGGCATACCGAAAGGTACAAATAAAGGGGAGAAATTTGATTTTTACTTGATTTTTAAATATTTTCGTTAATTAATTGGTGAAAATTTGAAATTTAAAGAGAAATTTTGAAAAAAAAATCCGCAACAGTTTCCCTCCCCCCCCGTTGCGATGGGGTTCAGGAAAAAAAATCCCTCGGATAAGCAAAAGTAAATAATAGGTCGAACCAACGATCCTACTCAATTTTATATATCTATCTTAAATTTTACTAATTTTAATTATAAAAATTTAAATTAAAATAATTTACAAGAATTTTAGCAGCAATTTCCCTCCCCCCGTTGGGTTGGGGTTCGGGAGATTATCCCTTGATCAATTAAAGAGAAAAATAAACAAAGTTGAAACCCTTGTTACTTAATTTTTTTTTGATTTCTATTATTTTAATTTAATATTTAATCATTTAATGGAGCTAAATTTCCCGAATTATTTTTCACAATTTTGCAGGATATATCTAACAAAAAATAATCCGCAACAAATGCGGAAGCCAGAAGCTATGGCTTCCCTCTATCTACCCGCTTCTCTCAAAATTGGGGTTAGGACTTCACCCTAATTAGGGTTTTCCCTAATTAGGGTTTTGGGTTTTGCGCGCAACCGCACGAACACTGCAAAGCCCTGCTCGACGCGAGAAAAATTTTGTTAGCTTTCACTAGTTTTAGAAGAAAAACTTATTGGATTACATTTTTTAATTTCTTTTTTTTTTAATTTAAACAAAATTACAAAGAAATTCAATTTTCTGTTGATTTTCTTCCCCCTTTTCTATCTGTTGGAGCTCGCCGTTTGTCCAAACGAAGTCCGTTTTCCCCGACTAGGGTCTCAAAATGTCGGGAAAAATACAGGGACCAACTTGGGTCCCCGCAGGGTTTCCCTAATTTCGCTTATTTTCTCGACCATTTCAATAAAACGCAAATCAAAATTTTTAGAATTTTTAATCAGAAAATATAAAAAATTTCATATCTCGCTTTTTAACTGTTCGAATTTCTCCAAAAATATCTCAAAACGTTCGCCTCGATGAGAGGACGAACTTTGCTCCCCGTGTGCCTCGCACGAAAAGCGCGCGGATCAGGAGATATCGGAGAAAAACCAATTATAAATTTTAACTCATGATTTTTGGAATTTTTAATTAGAAAAATACAAAAAAATCTAAATTTTTTTTTCTAGCCATTAGAATTTTTCAAAAAACATCTCAAAACGTTCGCCTCGACGAGAGGGCGAACTTTGCTCCAAGCGCGGCTCGCGCAAAAGCACGCGGATCGGGAGATATTTCTAAAAAACTAAATAAAATAATTATCTAAAATATAACTAATCAAGAAAACAAGCTGATTAGTGTTTGACTAATCAGCCCGTGCACCCCCGTTGGTTGGGGAAGGCCGCGGCCTTGGGGGTGCTGCTCCCCTCCCCAGCAACAGCGCCAAAGTTGTGAGGAAACCCGGGGAGGGGCGCCTACCGTTCACCGAAGCCAAGGGCAACGGCGTCTGTCACCCGTCGCGCCCGCTTTCGAGGTCCTCGGCGACCAGCAGGGTGATGGGTGTTTCTGCCCGTCGGTCACACTTCCTTTTGAAGTCTGTTCTTAGACACCATTCCCCGTGTCCCGAGAGGAAGAGAAGGGAATGAGGATTCAACCGGATATTTGTTGTTTCCTAGATCTGGGATCAATTTGGCCAGACTCGGAACAACAAACTAATCAACAGCTCTTTTCCAATAATTACTCGAGAGTGGCTCGAGACCCTGACCACAGGCTCCGAACAGCAAACCAATTAATAGGTTTTTTTTTCCGATAATTACTCGAGAGAAGCTTGAGAGTCTGGTCACACGCTTGGAACAGAGAGCCAATCAATAGGCTCTTTGGAGTCTTTTCCAATAATTACTCGAGAGTGACTCGAGAGCATGCCCACAGGGTCGGAACAGCAAACCAATCAATAGGCTCTTTTTCCAATAATTACTCGAGAGTGGCTCGTGAGCCTGGCCACAGGCTCCGAACAACAAACCAATCAATAGGTTTTTTTTTCTAATAATTACTCGAGAGAAGCTTGAGAGTCTGGCCACAGGCTTGGAACAGAGAGTCAATCAATAGGCTCTTTTGGGTCTTTTCCAATAAGTACTCGAGAGTGGCTCGAGAGCCTGCCCACAGGGTCGGATCAGCAAACCAATCAATAGGCTCTTTTTCCAATAATTTCTCGAGAGTGGCTCGTGAGCCTGGCCACAGGCTCAGAACAACAAACCAATCAATAGGCTCTTTTTTCCAATAATTACTCGAGAGAAGCTTGAGAGTCTGGCCACAGGCTTGGAACAGAGAGCTAATCAATAGGCATTTTTGAGTCTTTTCCAATAATTACTCGAGAGTGGCTCGAGAGCCTGGCCACAGGGTCGGAACAGCAAACCAATCAATAGACTCTTTTTCCAATAATTACTCGAGAGAGGCTCGAGAGCCTGGCCACAGCCTCGGAACAGCAAACCAATCAATAGGCTCTTTTTCCAATAATTACTCGAGAGAGGCTTGTGAGCCTGGCCACATTTTTGGAACAGCAAACCAATCAATAGACTCTTTTTCCAATATTTACTCGAGAGAGGCTCGAGAGCTTCGCCACAGGCTCGGAACAACAAACCAATCGATAACTCTTTTCCAATAATTACTCGAAAAAGGCTTGTGAGTCTGGCCACAGGCTCGGAACAGCAAACCAATCAATAGGCTTTTTTTCCTAATGCTTTTTTTCTCTCTCTCTCTCTCTCTCTCTCTCTCTCTCTCTCTCTCTCTCTCTCTCTCTCTCCCTCTCTCTCTCTCTCTCTCT